ATTGAAATTTACTATAGCTCAGTAACTTTTTTTTGCACTTATCAAAATCAAGGTTGATATGAATAAATAAATAATAATGATTAAAAACATAAGTGAAAATTTCCTTGAAGTGAATTATACTGAGATATTTTGTCATTAAATATCGAGATTGTTAGACAATATAGACAAAGTAAGCTTTCAGGTTTTTTTTGAAATTTAGAAAAAAAAAGAAGGGAATAGTTTAGCAGATCTCTACGAGAAATAAAAGTAGAAAACATACAGATTTCCTAGCTTCTGTGAGAAGCTGAGGTGCACAATGAAACCAGTAACACCAGAGTTCACAGATGTGAGATTCAGTGCTCACCCCTCATACAAGTCAAAGGCTAAAAGACAGTGCTGAAGCAAAGTAAAGGTCTTTTTAGAACAGAGGAAACCAAGTAGAAAATAAACATGATTCATAATAGTATTGATACCTGGTGGGAAAACTGAAAAATAAAGATAATTTGATACTGAGAAATACTGGTAAAAAAGAGATTGTATATAAATGGATGTAAATACAATTTATTCACTGTATGAATGAGCATTAATTGAAGAAAATTTTAATAAACGACCTGGTCAGAGTGAGTTCTAATAAAAAACTCTACAGCTTCTCAGTCAACATAAATATAAATTGTTATGTCAGAACTATTTTTGAAACTAACATGCTGTTTGTGAAGGTTAAAGTCTTACGCAATAGGAATCCACATTCACATTGTCCATTATTAATTATTGAATTAGCTTACCTGTTTCACTAGAAACAATATCATGACAGAGCTGGCAGGTGCGGGAGATATTCTGGACCAGAATCCCATGCTAGAACAGAGACCAAAAAGTGTCACCATGCCCATTTTGATAAATTTTTCCCAATATGCTGCTATTTCACTCTACCATAGATCAATTATATCACCCTGTCCTGTGAAAAAAAAGTTAAAATGTTGTCTTCTATGACTGCAACTATTTCATGAATCTTCTTACAAATAAGTGAGGAGGTCTACTAAAGTGTCTGGGCTTCCTAGACTCCAGCTACGTTTTGTTTTTTCTGATTAAAGGCAGGGAGAATTTACTCTAAACTTCACAGAAAGCCTCTTACTGTGGCTTGTCCTTTAGCCAATAAGAAGTCAGAAAACTATTAAAACATTAAAGGGCTGATCCTGTTCCCTTGAAACTCCATGGGAATTTCGCCAGTGGTTTTGCAAGAATGTAATCCAGCTCCATAAATACATGTATATATTTATACACACCTCATCAAACCATTAAAAGACACCCTAGAACATAGGAAAATGGTAGGGAGCTTGCTAAATGGAGTTGGCTGTTAGGCAGCAGCTCGGTAATAGCTGTTTTTGTCCTTTCTGATCATATTTTGTCAAATACACACAGTGCAGGGTCAAGGAGAATCTAAATGTACAAAAGATGATGTTGCCAGCAGTTAAAGTTTTACTACAATTCTTGTGACATTCGGTGTTTTTTTCACAGCTTTGGCTGCAAGGTTGGAGAAACTGCCAAGGAATTTTAGCTTTAATTTTCAAAAAATCATTTGTAACTTTTTTAGTTGCAGAGAAAGGCCTGAAAACACTAACAAATTGATGTGTTATGCAGGCTCAGGGAATAAAACCATTTATAATATAATAATTTTAGGGTTCAGCTTACAATTGTCATGCTTAGAGTTAGCAATACAGAGGGTCAAGAAGATGTTGCCTCCTCCATTTTCAAGAGAAATGAAACTTGCAGCTATTTGTCCTTGAGGACTGGTCATGTGCTTCCCACAACTTAGGGATGTCCTGAGCAGCTAAGCTGGAGAGCAGGCAGAGAGGCAATGCTAGGACTGTGGACGCGAGCAGTAGCCCCGTTTTCAATGCCAGGCATAGGCTAGACCTTTGGGTGGGAGATACACCGTGCATCACACCCCATCAACCTGGCCAGCAGCGTGACCTGACTCCCTCTGTACACATACGCCAAAACTTTCTTCTGGAGGGATCCAGAAAGTGGAAAGGCATGATGTATACCTATGTTTGATCTGTACATAAAGTCTGGATGTGCTAAAAAAGAGTATTGGGCCATGGGGTATGGAAGTGCTCTGGGGACAAGCGTTCTGCGCTTCTGTGCCTCCTGGGCTGTTCCTCCCTGCCACACCTAAGGGCAACTCTGGGGAGCAAGGAGAGGCTTTTCAAAGCCCCCGTAGCAACTGCTCATCTGCGTATTGGTACAGGGGATAAAAGCACATTTTCAAATGGTTGTATGAGTAAGATCAGTTCTTGTAGCAGGTTAAAACCGGGAGAGCTGAACAGTACTCTGGCACTGGAGAACTTCTGAGATCACTATAAGGAATGTCCTAGTGCTCAAGAAACCCTGAGGTCTGCCTAGACCCTGGATGAGCAGATCTACAAGTTCACCTGCAGTGCATCCTCACTGTTGCTCGGTAGCATGCAAGTCCTCTCATCTTCTCCACTGACAGCCCACACCCAGCAGCTGAGGCTCTATTTTCAGGTTTTGACTCCTACAAGTTGTTAGTTTTTACCTGGTCACTTTTAAAAATCATCTGAAGGTTATACCTGAATGAGCTCTGTGGTCCCTCTTTAGAGTTAACACTGCCCAGGACTAGGTCAGTGCAGGAGCCCCATATTAAAATATCTCCATATTGTAATTACGCTAATGAATTGTGGCACTAGCTGGTAAAGACAGAATGTGGAGATGAAGTTTGAATTTCTGAGTTACCGTTCAGAGTTTTTACAAGAATGACATAAATCAGAAAGGCCATAATGCCGAACACTAGCCACAGCTGCCCACCCTCATTCACTCCCAACTTTCCTCCAGCAAAAATCAATGGACATAACACTTTGTTTGAAGGAAGGTCCAGCCAACCTGCTTGCTCCTCTTTTCTTTCTTTTTTCACAGTATGACAGATCTAACTAATAAATAAATGATCATGTGATACATTTATCCTATTATATAGAGCATTCTTACATGGCAAATTGATTTAAAAGTTTGTGGTACCAGCATTAAGGGAGCATAAGCATAAAACTGTCTCAGTGAAAAATCTCAGGGTGCAATTGTCAACCAAGAGTTATCAATTCACAGAGCTTTTTCTGAAATCTCCAGAGACTGATTTGTAGCCCAGTACAAGGTTTATTTAGTCAAAGACGACGACTATGCTATGACATTTATGCTGGTTAAATTTTGTGATGGGCATAAAACTGTAAAGTTTGTACATAATGAAGAGGTGTCAGTGTTATTCCCAAGTGAACTCAACTGTCTTGAGTCAGTGGTTCCACAAGCCTCAAGTATGTTTGAATACAGCCACATGCAGATTATTCCTGGGAAAATGAACACAGATAAGTGTTTAATCCCTAAAAGGACTTTCCTCCCTCCCTCCTTCCCTCCCACTGATCCTGTCCTCAGACTTGCTGGGCAGTCAGTGATGCTGTCCAGAAGCAGTGTCAATGCACAGAGGCTTCAAGTGGAGCTCATGAGTGCTTTGCTTTTTGGGTTGTGAGACTTGCTCTGCCTTTCTAGTCCAGATACCTCTTTGGTCTTTCATTCTGTTGCTGGCCAAGCTCAGACCTTTGTAACAGTCTAAAGCAGGCGTTTATCCCATTTCTTTGAGTTTCATGCTGGGTTTTTTTTAGCCACAGGCTTCTCCAGCCCTGATATCTTCTGTGTAGGGAGTTGTCTTAAAAATCAGAATATGTGTCTGTCCTGTGGTGCTACTCTCCCTTAGGACATGTGTAAAATGAAGCAATCATTCCTGCCCCTTCTGATTCTTTGCATCACATATTTACATTATCAAACAGGCAGAAAAATCATAGAATCATTTAGGTTGGAAAAGCCCTTTAAGATCACCAAGCCCAACCGTTCCCCTAACCCTGCCATCCCACCACTAAACCCTGGCCCTAAGCACCTCATCTGCCCAGCTTTTAAATACCCCCAGGGATGGGGACTTGACCCCTTTCCTGGGCAGCCCCTTCCAGGGCTTGACAGCCCTTGCGGGGAAGGAATTTTTCCCAATGTCCAACCTGAACCTGCCCTGGCACCACTTGAGGCCCTTTGCCCTCGTCCCATTGCCCATTCCCTGGGAGCAGAGCCTGACCCCCCCGGCTTCCCCCTCCTGCCAGGCAGTTGTAGGGAGTGATAAGGGCTCCCCTCAGCCTCCTCTTCTCCAGGCTGAACACCCCCAGCTCCCCCAGCTGCTCCCCATCAACCTTGGGCTCCAGACCCCTCCCCAGCTTCATTGCTCTCTGGACAAGCAGTATATGTAACATGTCAAGGTGAGAAATGTTCCTTAGATGAAGGAAAAAATGATATTTCACAGAGAAAACAGATGGACAAAGTGAGGATAATTCAGCTTTTTCTCTACTGTTTCACCTAACTCGGGCAAGACTTGTTATGTGTTCATGGAGGCAGACTGGACAGTGCCTAGAAGCCCATCAATAGCACAGTCTTGCAACTTATGACTTTCATTTGTCACTGGTGGAACTTCAAACAGACGCAGTTGCCTTCCCAGTGGTCTTGGGAAGTGCTGTAATGCCATGAAATGCTCTAATTTAACTGTTTTTATCTCCTTAAGAATTTCTTTATAGTGAGGTTCACAACCATATTCAATTTAATCAGTGTTCAGTGTAACAGGAGTGTTTGGATCCACAAGGTTTTATTTCTTCCTTAGCTGATAAATGGAGAAGTTCCGTCGGCCCAACTCCACCTGCTGATCAAGGTAAATATGCATATTTTGTTGGCATAAATAAAACTTTTCTGATCGCATCCTGGGGTAATCCCAATGCTTCTGTGTATCTTTACTCCTGTGATTCATGGGGTGAACTATAATTTATTGTCCCACCTCCTCCTATTTCTTTCACAAAACATTACTACCCAACCACTCTGTCCTATATCCTTAATCTCCCCTGCCACATGATTTCTGGTCATGCCCATATCTCTGCTTTCTGTCTTAACTACTAAGCCAGCACAATCTCCTAAGAGGAATGAAGGATGCGATGCTAGATACAGGCAGGTGATTCACTAGGCAGATGTTTACACAGCTTCGTGGAAGGTTGTCTCTGGAATAACTGACAGCGCAGTCCTGGAGGATGCCACTTTCGGTTCCAGCTGCAGACAGATGGCAGAGAGCCTCAGCAGCCTTCTCCCTCAGTTTTCTCTCTTTAGTCTTCTCTATCACAGCATTCAGCAGCAGTTACTGGTGTGAAGGGACAAGAAAAGTCGCCAAACCATTCTGTACAGGACAGAGCAAAGGGGATCACTGCATCCGCTTTAATAGCCCCGATGCCAACAGCAGCAATGCTGTGCAGTACATTTGGGAGACAGGAGATGACAAATTCATTGACCGAAAGTTTCATGCTGGGATTTGGTATTCCTGTGAAGAAATTATAAATGAAGAAGGTAAGTAAATTCACATAAGAAATTAATCAGAGTTCTTCTTACTTATTTGGTGTCACCCTCTTCTTTGCTGCAATATCCTGTATGTATTTTAAAGGAAAAACTATCCTTAAAAAGTTGCTCGTCTCTGGGAAGTGAGATCTTAGAGGGTTCTATCTAGTCAATTCCTAAAAAATTCCTAATAAATTCTGCAAAGAACTTTAGAGTGACAAGTTGTAGTGCAGATGAAGGGGTTTTTTTTCTAGTATTCTGACCAGAGCAGCAAGTTAAATTACTTTAACAGGGAAGTGTTTTATTTTTCTGATGTTTTTAGTCTCTTAGGCAAAAATGAACATATTTTCCTTAAATGATTGCTTATGATCCTCTGTGGCAACATAAAAAGCACAATGTGATTTTTTTAACAAAAAAATCATTTGAGCAATTAAATCTGTGGGATCTAAGTTATTTCATGGATTACCCCTTAAGCACAGGTATTTCTGCTTTCTTATTGCTATCTCACCTTCCATAAATCAAAGCAGAAGATGATCATTTGCACCCTGCTAAAATATAATTTGGAGACTTACTAGACGTGAGTGGTGGCATTTAACTGAATTTCACTCTGGTATGTAAATGTCAGTAGAATGAAATTCTCTTGCCATTAAAGAAAGCTTCTGGTTAATTCTGGATCTTTGTGTAAGCGAATTGCTTAGTTAGTTCAAGAAATGGGGCATTTATTGTAAATCCAGATCAAGACTAAGTTTTTCCTGTTGTTATCCTGATCAGTTTACAAATGACAACTAGAACAAAACTTCAGGGAAATCGAATCATCTGTCATCTGTGCTATAAAATGCAAATATTTTCACAGTTGCCTGTCCTGAGAGTCCAGTTCTACCAGAAGTTCTTGTAAGTTATGCAATTTTAAGGGGGTAAATGTCGAAGATCAGAGCAAAGTACATCTCCAAAAGACATGATTGCTACGGGGTTATTTAATCCGTGCATCTGCTATGGCATTTCTTGTTTTCCAACTTGGTGCCATTAATAGCTGAAAAAACCCACCCGTATTTTCAGAGCAGAGCAGAATTAATTCTAAGAGCTTTGTTCACAGCATCTGTGTGGGGGTGAAGAAGTCACAGGGGTTTGAAAATCAAAGCTTACAGAAAGAAATTAGAATCAAGCTCAGAAGAAATCTGTGTGAGCAGCAGCCTTATCGCTGTAAGGACAGCAGGGCTTCCTTCGCTGGGAAAATGCTTTGCAGGCTCCCAGTCTTTCAAAGGAATGGATTGTTTTCCTGTTCTAGCTTTCACAGCTACAGACTTTTGGAAATCGATTCATAGCCTTTCTCTAAGGCCCCTGGACTCTGGTTCTGCCTTCAAAGTCTGAAAAGATTCTCTAGTCAAGTCCCAAGAACAAGTTGATGGACCAGGGACTCTGTGTGTACAAACATACATCAGAAATAGCTTCTCCTGACCATCTCAGTTTGTACTTTTACGAGTTTGCATTTTCTGCTTTCTATTTGTCTATTTCTTTAGATCATTACAGAATACAAAATAATCCTGAACTTTATTTTAAAATAAATTTTATTTTTTTTAGGTGAGAAATGTAGAAGCTTCATCAGTCTCACTCCAGCTTCTGATCGAGGTAGATATGCATATTTTGGTTTTGTAAATAAAGCTTTCCTGATCACATTTACCAATATAAATATGCTTTATTTTGATATCAAAAGTGCTTGCTTTAATCCCACACAGGTTTTTGTCCTTTATTTATTTTTTTGTCTTTATTTAGGTTTTCAACTTCAAAATGAAGTCCACATGACTAAAATATGAATCTGTCTTTTGAGACCATTCCATTTGAATGTGAATGTTTTTAAAAATTATTTTGAATATGGGTACTGGAAGTCAAGGTTTGTGAGTTCTTGCCCCCCCTTTCCTCATACCTCCATCTTCACAGTGTCAGGAATTCTGTGGCTCACAGCATGCGGCCTGGGAGGGATCTGCAGAGGGACAGGCAGCACATGAAAAACGGCAGGCAATATGCTGAGGGGGCTTGGGGGGATGGGTTGTGCACCAAACCCATCTTGATAGCAGTCCAAATCCCCTCCCCGTACCTTATGCAGAGCTGTAAGGAGGCATTTCCATTCCCCTGAAAGCAGAGAGCTGCTCTCTTTCTTCATGTTCCCCTGAAACTTGCTTGCAGATGGTGTTAAGGACCCTCCTCCCCCCAGTGTAAACCCTATCACTGATATGGTTAGACCGATCACTTTGCAAGTGATGCAAGATCCGGAAAAAAAAGTCTTTCTTCTTCCCCAGGGGGTTGAAATCGCATATCCAGGGTATTTGGGCTGGAGCACTTTCCTGGGTATGCAATTTCAGCCCCTTGGGGAAGAAGACTCAGTATCTGAGGGCTTGTCCTCCCCTCTATTGCAGGTTCTCACTGTGCACAAACAAGTCAAGATTTTTATAGCGTAAGAAAAAATATAAAATATGTGTGGTTCTTAGTCACACAGAGAGAGTCCTCAGAAAGGAGGGGTGGAATCTGGGCCCTGCCCCAAGAGCTCCTCACATGTGAAACCACTGGTGGACATAGTGATGAAATTAACTCTGTGAACAGCATCAACAAATGCCACAGGCACCTGGAGTTCAGATCAAGGCACCTAAGACAGCACTCAGGTACCTGATAACCACACTGAGAAGTTATCCCTGGGTAGTGAAATCCTGCGTAGAAATCGACTCCTGCCCTGCACAAGAGAAGAGCAAGTTTGTGTTCTGCAGGTGCACAGGGCTGCTGTATACACAAAGCTCAGGATGCAGCAGGCTCACCCCTCCTGAATTTATCATCCCTAGGCATCTTACAGGGATTATCACAGTTGTTCAGTGCACATGTAATCATGGCTCCCTTATCAAAAGTGTTAAGATGGAAGCTCTCATGGCTGGAGCAGCCAATACTGTTGGGCAGGATGACATCTGTAGTTCCTGAATAAAATCGGAGTTTTTTACTGAGAAAAAGATTTGCTGTAGAAATAAACCTTGTCCAGGAACCCCCACACATAGCCTGGCCCAAAAATTTAACATCTAAATGGCCAAAGCCAGCAGTAGGGGCTAGTTACCACACAAGCATTGTTTACTGCCATATGTAGTGTTTAGAAATCAATTAGACATCTTAGCAATATTTCTATTCTTAAGTTACGATGGTTAGTACATGCCTTTGCATGAAATCACCATTTGAATCTACAGCCAGGTAGCTCAGGACACACTTACTTGTTTTCAATCAGGCTTGGGAAGGTTGTTGGCCAGTTCCTGCTACGATCTGGACACAAGAAGAATTCTTGCTCCTGGCATTGGGAAATTAGCATGCTGATAGCAAAACAGCAGTCTGAGACACTTTAATGGGAAGATTAACTTCTCGCATAAGATGTAATTAACATATCCAGAAAGAGGTGAATTAGCAGATAACCAGAGAAATGAATCTCAGTGAAACATGGAAGCTCATGAAGACTTCTCTGTCCAGAAAATCAAGATCCTATTTGGTGGAAAATTAAGCTCATCAGTAAGATTTTGTTTAATGACTAGACCCTCAGGCCACATGGCTGTGTGCGGGGCCTTGTAGCTGGCTAGGTGGGTAACATGGTCTTCTGGTTTGGTACACTCCTCTCTGGACTCAGCAACCATGTCAACAACTAGGTAATTGGACAGTAATTCTTTTTATATTAACTTTGGTGCATGGTAATTTTAGGATAGCTCCTGAATATAAAACCACACTGCCCCACCCTGTATCGTAAGCTTCTTATGCATGATGTGCAAGTTTTCTTCTGCTAAATGGCCAAATCAGTCAAAGGAATTACTTAGGACATCCGTAGACTTTGAAGTCTTCCTATAGACAGTATAATAGCATCTCACAGCCTTTGAGTGTTTGTTTAATGTTGTGTAAACAACGTAAGTGAAGAAGAAAGAAATGGTAAAATTACTAAATGCCTGCTTATAATATCAGTGCTGTTGATTTGGTTTTCCAGGGGTTTTATGGCTGTCTATTGTAGCAGAGCTTCTGTACATTGTTTTACTTCTGACTGGAGCCATTCTTATGTCAGTAGAAATGTGCTACTACAGTACTGCCATTGATGGGCTAAAGATCAACACCTTTTCTGCAGTGGTCACCGTATTAGCAGGTACAGTTAAGGATCTCCATTTATTACATCCAGAAAATGAAACATTGATAGACTTCCACCTGAAAACTAATGAAGCGTCCAGGTTTCAAAACTATTAGAGTAACTGTGGAGGCAATAACAATACAAGATGCAGCAAAATTTTATGAAAAATATTAATTTCAATTAATTATTTCTTAATTTGATTATTTTTATATTTTTATTTATTGTTTTTACTATTTTAAACTTCATTATTTTAATATTATAATTTTTAATTTCTTTGTCAGCTTGTTTGTCAAAGATAAAAAAGTAACATACTCTTCGAAATAACTTGAATTTTTTATTTCCAACATGCTAAGTATAAAACTAGCAATAGCCAAATTTTTAAGTGTGAATAAAATGTAATTGGATAATTGTTAGAAGAGAATCATAATCAAAATTGTTTTTCATTTGCTGCATATTCCTTCTTAATCCAGTGCTATTTAATCATGGGATCCTAGGCAAATTCAGTTTGAAGGAAGTTCAGAGGGTCCCTGGTCCAGTCTGAGGAGTCTTGTCTGAATTCAGTGTTGACTATGCATTGAGCAGGCGGAAGTTGGACCAGAGACTTCTGAAGGTGCCTTACAGCCTGAAGCACTCTGCAATTCTGTCTGTATTATAGAACTGTTACTGAGGAATAGCGCATTAAAAACAGCAGTTATGGGTAACATGAACAATGTTTCATGTTCATTTTAGGGCCAGAAGCAATCATAGTGTTTATTTACTGTAATTTCTTGTGGAACACATATCACTGTGCTTCATATCATCAGGATAGTTCAGAGTCCAAAGTAATTTATACTTGATGAAAACGTATCTTTTAGAATGGCATCTAATTGCAAGTGAAACACCTGGCAGATGGCAAGGAATCTATCTAAAGTTTGTAAAAATTTTGGGGTTTGATCCTAATCCTAATGTTTCTGGATTTAATGTTCATGCATTTGTGATTCTTGTGCCTTTCTTCATGAATGAAAGATTTTTTTAATTACACTTTTTCCTCTTAAACATAAGCACATATTTAATTCATTTGCCAGTCTCATTTTTGTTGGCTAAATAAATCAAGTTTATTAAACGTCTGACTGTGATAATGGGGAAGAAATAATTTTCTTCCTTTCTGCAGAAGCCTTTGCATATTTGAAGAAAACTATCGTGTCTTTTTCTCCAAAAGAAAGAATTGAGAAACATGACATATGACTTCACATGTATATTTACATTTCCAGAGAGGAGTCCCTCTGTTTTGAGGACAGGATGAGAGAGTTGGGGATGTTCAGCCTGGAGGAGAGAAGGGTGCGGGGATTGCAGCCTTTCAGTGCTTAAAGGGAGACTATAAGAAAAATGGGGACAATCTTTTTAGCAGGGCCAGTTATGACAGGACAAGCGGTAATGGTTTTAACCTAAAACAGGGTAGATTTAGACTGGATATAAGGAAGAAATTCTTTACAATGAGGGTGGTGAAATACTGGAATGAGTTGCCCAGAGAGGTAGGAGATGCCCCATCCCTGGAAACATTCAAGGCCAGGTTGGATGGGGCTCTGAGCAACCTGACCTGGTTGAAGGTGTCCCTACTCACTGCAGGGGAGTTGGCCTGGGTGACCTCTAAAGGTCCCTTCCACCCCAAAGCATTCTATGATTCTAAGACCTCTGATCACTCTTGCTGCTGTAGTCTTTCTCTAGCCCAGTTTTTGTACAATATTCCTAGAGGACAGTGTTAAATGTGGATGCCAGGCTGAACCTCCAAGGACTTTACAAACAAAATTTATATTCCAGATGGTGACTTCTGAAACACTCTAGTTTTGCTTAATTTTTATGGAAATCTAAAACTTCTAGGCACGCACCACTCTGCCCTGAGTTAGGCCCAACTCCCCTAAATCTTTCCTGGCAGATATTTGTTTAGCCCCATCTTAAAAAAATCCCCAGGCCCAAAAAACCGTCACCACCAAAAAAAGAATTAATGCTCTCTCTTCAATACTAAAATTCCTGTCACTTTCTTAGGAAATGTAATCCAATTCATACCGTTCTGAAGACTTCCTTCATGTCTGATCTGAAGCTCCAGCTGCTGCAGTTTTTTACAGCATTTCTTTTAGGATACCCACCTGCAACAGAGAGCAGATGATTCCTTCCTCTTTGTAGTTAATGTTTACATACTTGAAGGTTGCTATCTGAGCTCCCTGTAGTCCAGAGAGCAGTCGCCAAACTTTGCTGCCTGTGAACTCTGAGAACCTGCTGGAATACCTCCTTGCTCTGAATGACTTTTCTGAAAGTTGTCCAACTAGTTAAAAATTTCTATTATCACCAGTTCTACTAATTGCTCAAAAAATGCCCCATTTCTCCTGTATCTCACCAAACCCCATGATCCACTGTGATGTCTATTTCCAAAGAAAGAGTAGTGAGTTTTATTCAACTCTTTAGGCAGTTTTTCCTACTATCAGCAACTTTTCACTCTCTAAATAATAATAAACACTCACTTTTATTAATAATCTTTTTTGTTTTGATATGTGCAGCATTAAGGAGGCTTACACAGCAAGCAGCAAGCTTTTCCTGGACATTCTGTTTACTTCTGCTAGTAAAATTTCTTGAAATATTAAAAAGTTGAAGAGCATCTGTCTTAGCTGTCAAAGTTATGCATAAATCCTTTGTGGATATAAACCAAATCTAGTAGCCCTAATCCGTAATGAAGATGCAATTTCTTGTACAAACATGCTCTCCATTCTAGCACACAAATGTGAATTAAAATTCAGTTACTGGAAACAGTAAGCTGAATAATTCTAGCTATACTGAAAACACACATTTAAAAAAAAACAAACACTGTTACAGTATTTAACCATTGAAAAAACCCACATTAAAGTTAGTGTTTGGTTTCTCAGTTCCCTCAGTCTTTAGCTCAGAGTGAATAAAATCCTAAAATTCTAACGTGCAGAAATGGTGACTTAAGAACCATGGTGTGAAATTTTCTGACCATAGGTATGTAGGTTTATAACATCCCACATGCAGGTCTTGAGTCCACAGAAATTGCTATTCTAAATTGTGAGTGCTTTCCCTTAAATGCATGTGTGCTGCTAGTTAAACCCACTGCTATGAAATACTCATTGTTGATACCACTGTCCTGTTGCCCTTGGTGGCCTTTGATGAAAATAAATATTGACAGGCACCCATATATGACTATGCTTGCCTTTTCTATCTATATTCATTAAATTTTCACCATTTCTCAGGCACCAATCTGCCCTGATGCCACTGCTGAAATGTTGAGCCTGACTCAGAATTTAATCCTTGTACAAGAGCCAAGAGGAATGCTCCAGCACAGGAGCTCATGTTCACACACCAGTTATACACATTTCGAGGCAGCCAGGCTGGAGGGTTCAGGACAGACATTGTTGTAACTCAGAAACAGCTATGACATACCACCAGTCTGGGGAGAGGTGGGCAACTGGTCTCAATTCCCTAATAGCCACATTGACAGCCAAACAGCTCTCTCCAAGCCGTTTATTAAGGAATACACTATTGGGGTGCCAGCTAGCTACCCAATGCTGCGTTTCACAGCATGAAGCCTCCTGGCTCTGTGCTGCATAAATCAGCTCTCCTAATTGCCCAGTGATGGTCTTTCAGGCAATACCAGTATTTCAGGGGAGACCGTTTCCCAGTGACTACTGAAGCCAGGTCATGGTCATGCCTGACTTGTTATGTCTGCGGACACGTGTTCCTAGGCGGGCAGATAATGTGTGCTAGCTGGCTAGTTTTGTAAGGATTCATGAAACGGGCCTGCTTTAGGAACACCTCGCAAATTGGGTCCTGTGAGCTTGGTGGGGGACTGTGCTCTGAGAAGCTAATGCGTTTTAGGCAATGGGATAGTTGGTACTGCAAGGGTATTGATGGATTTGTAAATGAAGCTGGAAACAAGAAAACAGATGTTCCCAGGGAAGCTACTGGAAGATAAGGGAAAACAGATAACCTTAGGGTTAGGCAGCAGCCTCGTAGCAATTTTGAAAATTAAATTATTAAATAGAAGACTCTCTCATAATCTGAATTTTCTCTACTTTTTAATGGCCTTTAAGTGTTTGTTCACTTTTTTATTCACCTGCATAACACTGGTAAAGCTGGCTGCATTTAAGGCGCTGGTAAAGGGCACATGACTGTGCGCCTTTGAAAAATCTTTCCACTGCACAATAGGAAACTGTGGGAAACATGCTCTGTGCAGTGCAACTGAGCAGTACTTTGTTGTAATGGCTGGTCCCTGCTCAGGGTTGAATTGCTAAGGAGTTTTCAGAAGATGAGAGCCAATCAACCTGTTGCCTTCTAAAACCTATGAGCTGCATGTCCCATTGCCCCCCTAGATTCCTCTAGCATATCGAGCAGGTGTCAAGGGACTCTGTTAGTGACTGTGTTGGCAAATACCTGACACATAAATACGCTTAGGTTATAATGTCCAGTATTTTTGAGCGATTTACAGAGTTTAGATACCTTGTAAATATTCTTCATGAGCTCAAGGGACAACTGCAAATAGTTGACAAAGATGACTGTCCTCAATTTACATTTTCTAATGTTCTTATGATGTTATATTTTTTAGGTCTTCTGGGCATGGTTGCTCACATGATGTACACAACCGTATTTCAAATGACTGTAAATCTTGGTCCTGAAGACTGGAGACCTCACACATGGGATTATGGCTGGTCTTATTGGTACCTATTGGTTTATATTTGGTTCTTCCATTACATTTCAGTTCCTTCACCCTATGATCAGGGATGTGTACCTAATTTATGAGGAATGGGTCTACCTTATTACACTCCTGGGGATGCAGTTTGGTACCCAGCTGTTTTTCTCCAAATTCATTCATCTTAGGTTATTGCATAGAATGTATAAGCTTGTGAGTTTTGCATTTACCATCCTTTAGACAGTAGAGGGACCTCCAGCTGCTCTGCATGAAGCGGAGGTTCTTCTCCATACCCATCAGACACAGATTTAGTGCCCTCATCTCCTAGGAAAACTGCACTGCATAAGTTGTTTAAAACTCTTCCAGCTTTAGCCATTTAGGCTGAATTTTTCCTTATCAGATATATGCTTCAGGTTGTGTGTCTGGAACATTTCATACAAGATGGTTCAAATTTTTGAAAACAGCCTTAGGCAAAAATACATTATTTTGGCCCTGTAAATAATTGTGACATATCCTCTGAGGAGATCTGGTGAATTTATTAAGAAAGAGGATTTTTGCTATAAGGATGTGTCTTTGAGAATCCACTGAGTCTGATCAATAGCAAGGATTGGAATGTTCAGGTGCTGGAACCTGCTGCTATTCCCCAGCTGTGACTGAGAAAAAGAATAGGAATGGGGTTAAATCAAAAGTCAATCAGGACCAATATTTTGTGTCAGTAGAGCAGAGGTCAGGCTGATTCTTTCCTTCATATGTGCTCTGACAGTCGAGATCACTCATTGTCACTCATTCTTGTTGCTTTTTCTACTTTCATTGTACCATTATGGAACAAGAGCTTATAGCTGCATGCAGTCTTTATGATGCAAACTTTCTAGAGATTTTTGAAGTGACATAGGGGTTTCTTTTGTCTTTGGTCTGTTACTTTTCACTTTCCTAATAGCATAAGTCTCATTGACGGTCACTGTACATTGCTCTGCATCTTTCCAGAAGTCCTTTTCCCAAGCAGCAGCAGCAGTTTGTTTGAAGCTATTGTCAAATGTGTATGCTTTCAGAGCACTGAAGGATGGGCCTGGTCGGTACTCCCAAGCTGGAGATTAGCCGGATCATGACAAACTGTGTATCTTATCCTGTTTTTCCAGCAGATGAGGTGGCCCAGCACCCGTATGTCACCCACTTGCTCAGATTGGAAAGGGTGATGTGCCTTCTGTCAGGAAGAGCTGGTCTGAGAAGGTCCAATACCAAGTATCCGGACAACACCTTGGACAATGTCCAGGGGCTACTTGGATACCCTCAACAGGTATCACAGGAGCTGTACAGAATCCTCAAATAGAGCCTTCCTCCTTCCTTTCAGACTTAGATACTTTCTGCTTCTTTGACTCTCACTTCTTCCATTCACTCATGTTTTTGTTCTTGCAATAACAATTTGGATTCCCTGGTTTGGGGCACTGATCTCTTTTCTATAAGGTCTCTCCATTTCTTTCATCAATGGGATTAAGCCTGTTTTTACTCTAAAATCAGTAAGAAGATTGTTCAGTGGAAAGAGAGGGAGTGTTCCTTCGTGGCTTCCCCCTCCCTATGACAGTGGAAACAGAAAACTGCAGACTGGTACTGAGGAGCCTGTTCCCTCCTTTCCATCCCACTGGGAGGAGAAGAAAAACATGAAAATCACTGTCACTGTTGCTGTTACTGACACAACACCATTTATGCCACTATTGCTACCATCATTCTTGTTAATTGCTGATGTCGTCACTGCTGCCACTACAGCCAGCCTCCTCCTGAGCACATGGACTAACGACTTTGACCATGTGCCACACACTCAGGAACTCATGATTCAGTGCAGCCTGGGCCACTGGATGCCCAAATAGATGTTTCTACCAATGCAAGACTTTCCAAGCCATCAGTACCTGCATATAGAAGATGTCAAAGAGGATGGTCTGCATGGTGCCTTTCTTCTAATCAATTGTATGCTCCATTTTTCTAACACAATTCACTTTCTTCTCTGCTCTTCTCAGCCTAAATGACAACTACATCACCCTGTTTGATAGGAATCTAAAAATAAAGCAAGCCACATATGCAGATGCATCACTCCCTCCTCCCAGCTGTCTTCCCTGGTTTTTTTCCTCTTATCTCCTTTCATATATAAAGTTGTCTCTCTTCTGATAACCTACATTTGCACCTCCCTTCCTGTTGTATGAACCCTCATCTTCAGCCTCCTTTAGCTTCTCTCACATGACTGCATGTGAGAAGCTCATCTGATGGTAAGAGAGGAAGGATGCTGAAGCTGTTTGCCTTTTACAAGACGAAAGAGAACAGATGCAAAAAAAAGGGGGAGGGCATTAATGATTATAGCTGACAGTCCCTTTCTAATTACCTCAGCACCCACTGTGGCCAACAATGTCACCAAGACCATGATTGCATGGGTGGGCAGAGGCACAGGCAAAGACTTTGCTGCTTTTTCATCAGGACTTACAATTATCTCCTTAGTAGCCAGGGAAGACAAAGAACAGCCAAAGAAAACAAAGAATTGGGCCCATGGCAGCAGCTTTTCATCCTGATCACCAGTCCCAGTGGAGAAGCTATTCCTGCAAGATCTACTGAGCCTCTGTCATGGATCTTCTACCTGCTACAGTTCTTCCTCTGTCCTCTCATCCAGCTACTGTGGCGGCCAGAGTTTTCTTCCCCCTGTCCCAGGAAGTACAAAGGCCTTTCTTCCTCCTTTACAGTGCTGGAATTGCTAATGATGAAATTGTAATGACTATTCTATGGTATCCCTGAATGTCTCTTCAATAAATCCCTCCAAATTTCTCTTTTCTCTTCTTCAGCAGCTTTCCTGGAGGTTGAAAGATATTGGTGAATCACTCTCCTGTGTTTCTCAGACTGAGGCATCCTTACATCAAGAGACAACATTTTCTCTGTGATATGCCCTGTACTAAATTCCCATGACACACCTCACATGGGATGCGCCATGCAGTAAAAGGAAAGCTCATAATCCATCTGAGCTTCTGTTGGCATTTCTCTTGTGCAGGTGGATGACTGGTTGCTTTTCTTTGCTTCTTGGTTGAGTCGACCTGTTTGATTTAACCTTTTGCCATTTGTCTCTGGGCAGAATTAAAATTGAATGCTCTCCTTCTTGAAGCTTCCAAACTGCCTGTTATACTCTGGCTCTCTCAGTGGCAAAACTTTGCTCACTTCCTTCCTCAGTTCTTTCCAGTCAGATGGGGGAATCCCCATTTTTTTCCAAATTGCTTATGGAAAAGAAAAATTTCTGGCAAAAACTTTGAAGAACCACACTGCTATCCTTCTTGTATTGTCAAAGGAAACCATTTATTTCTGTCCTTTGTTTCTTCTCTTTTAACACAGTATTGGTCTGCAAGAGAGTCTGCTCATAAGAGATTAATTTCTGTCAGTCTTTGCTAAGGGGCCTTCATCAGCTTTCTTGAAATCAGTTTCTTATCCTTATGTCACTGAGTCCTTCAGATGGATTAGGAAAAGCACCTTCAACAAAAGCTGTGCTTCATAATATCAGTTCCATTAATTCATCTACAAATGCTACTGTGCTTTGGGTATTCAGCCAAAAATTCCTATTATGTGAGACAGGACTGCTGCAGACTTGCCACTTTTATCTTTCCAGAGGCTGAATGTTCAATTCTTCTCTACCATGGTTGGTTTAATCCACAGGTTACATACCACCATAGGTTGGCCAGCTGTCCCATTCTTGCTCCATTTGCATGGGGAGGTAAATCTATCTGCTTCTGGTGATTCTCCCCTATTCTTGCTATCTCTTTGTTGTATGAGCTCTTCTGTGGCTCCCCACATTTGAGAGTTAGTCAGGGTGTAGTTTGAATAGCGTTGGGAGCAAAAACATCTTAAGCTGCTCCCTTCTTCCTGCTGCTAGGAGCCCTCCACATCTACATGCCATACCCCACCACCCTCAAATTCTATCAACATATCTGGTTGTCTGATCGCCCTGGAAACCAGATCACACCTGGCTAAAAAGAATGTTAAAAAATAAGTTATTTAAAAACCTAAATGGGTTTGTTGAAATACAGCAAGGATGTGGGAGCAAACAGCTGAGGAGAGAGGAGAGAAGCAGTTCCTTAAACTGATTTCTCCACCAAAGCATGTTTCATTAGATAATTGTGACCTTGCCATGTTAAGAAAGGCTCTGATGAGCAAGTTCCTCCACTGTAAACTCCAACTCATTCCACTGCAGCCATACTTTTGCATGCAACTTTTACACCTCCAGCACATATTTCTCACTCAGTCATCTGGGAGTTCCACAAATTTTTAGCAAATTGTACCTCAACATAATTTTTTAGTTCTTTCTCCTTATGGTTTTACTTTTACTGTTTCAGAGTTGATGCCGTTTTTTCTCGTTTAGTCATGACCTGCATTTTCTCATGAATGCATTTCAGTGCTCTGAGCCTGCTTTAGTCAGCTATTTAACTGTGACTTCTCTTTTAGTTTTTAACCCTTTTGGATCACTGGCACACATTTCTCTGTGTCACATGTGAGATTTGTAGTCTCAATAACTGCATCTTTTAATTTTGTATGCATCCTCATTTTTTTTATAGTTCCTCTTTCTGATACTAAGCTCTAAGTAGAGTAAACAGAGAAACTGGAAGTAGGGTTTCATTAAACAGGAATGTTAAATATGAATATTATAACCAATATACACCAATACAATCACATGTAACTAGTATCTTCAAAAAATAAAACTGAAGTACTTGAATATGAAAATGTTCCACTAATTTCTGAAAAACCTTTTTGTTTATAGCCTCGCATGGGCTTCCTTCGCGTGCTGTATGGCTGCAGCTGTCACCACGATTAACAAATATACAAAAACTATTTTGGAATTCAAGCACAAAAGACAAATGCTGGAGAGGAGTTTAAAGATTAAATACAAGTTCCCTGATGATACAGCTCCAGAGAAAGCTTGCAATGTGTATGTGAACTCTTTTCACAACAGTACAGAGGACCCTGCACATCCAATGAAAGGCTTGCGTCACCTGGCCACTATTTCAGTTCTGTGAATTTGAACAGTATCTCAAGGCATCCTGTAAATCATAATGCTAGATCAGAATGAAAAAGTATTAATTCATAAAAATGTATATTTGTGTAGCATTTGTTATATTTCTTAATAAAGAAATTATATTTCCATGAATGTTTCAAGGAAGTCTTAGTATTGGAAAAGTGGATTCAGGTGTCTCAGTTCAGAAAAAGAGAATGACATGGGTCCTCCACTGCTCCAGTTTTTAAGCAGTGATTAATGTTAATGGAAACTATGTGAGTTTGTTAGAATTTCAGAGCATTATGGATTTCCACCCTAATTCTTTATTGAAGAGACTGTAAAAAATCCCATCCCCGAACCAAAACCCACAAAGAGCAGGGCAGCAAATAAGGCAGCTCACATGTGGTGCATGGCTTGAATAATTTGTTTGTTATTAAAGGTATAATCTCTCCAGAAAAATCTGCATTACAGGTGTATTCATGAGTTTCACCATATGCATAGTGGTGGATTTGCTGTGAATGAAAGATTAATAGAGGGAATATGCTTTCAGCATAAATACTACTCATTTAAAACAGCTAGGAAGGAGAATAGAAACCTGGAAGATACATGGCTGTAGACAGCACACAACTCACCTATGAAATTCTCTAGGTATCATTCTGAGAGCAGAGTCAGAAAGAATGAAGATGTGATTTGTCATTATTATAGAGGAAAAGTAATCTCCAGCACATTAAAGATGGGAAAGTAAAAATGGTTATGATCCTCATAGATCAGGAATACGCAGCTACACCCCTCAGGATCAACACAGAGGTTCCCTGGGGAACTGAGCCATGTGTGCCTACTCTGCCAGACACCAGTTTTTCTTCATTGTTGTGTGAATCCTCCTGCTAATGAGCCTGCTGGGAAACACTTGTGAGCACTGGGTGGAAGAGGCCTGACACAGTGTTCCAAGAGGCTCTAGGCTTTAGAAATATCACTGTACATTTTTTTCAGGCAAAACAATCCTAACATAAATGTAGTCTGAACTTGTTATGCCAGAAGGATCCCTAGCAGGTCAGTTTATGGACAGTGATAAGGTGGAGCTGATAATAGAGTAGCACAACTGAAAACAATTAGCTCAGAAGGAAACCATGGGCCATTAGAGGCAAGAGAGGAAAACTGAGACAATAAGGTGAGATAACAAAGCAACACATAAGCCAGTCTCCTCAGAAGGAAAGTGGTGGGCGGTGGGAAGCCCACCAAGGAGTGGTAGGCCTCCATCTGCTGCGTAACCTGGGGTAGACTGTGACTACAGACACACTGTGACTGGTACCTGACACTTTATTGCACAGAGCACTGTGGGACTTGCTCCTGGATTTCAGTGAGGTATTTATACTCACAGTCATGTCCTGGTACCTTCAGCAGGGTTTGTTTGATTATATGTGTTACTCTGCCTAGCTTGTCTACAAGTTAATTTTCAGCATTTGGATGTCATCCAAAGAGACCTGGACAGGCTAGAGAGGTGGGCCTGTGTGAACCTCATGAGGTTCAACAAGGCCAAGTGCAAGGTCCTGCACCTGGGTTGGGGTAACCCCCAGTATCAATACAGGCTGGGGGAAGAAAGGATCGAGAGCAGCCCTGCCGAGAGGGACTTGGGGGTACTGATGGATGAAAAGCTAGACATGAGCCGGCAATGTGCGCTGGCAGCCCAGAAGGCCAACCGTACTCTGGGCTGCATCAGGAGGAGTGTGGCTAGCAGGTCGAGGGAGGTGATTCTGCCCCTCTACTCAGCTCTGGTGAGACCTCACCTGGAGTACTGCGTCCAGCTCTGGAGCCCTCAGCACAAGAAGGACATGGAACTGTTGGAACGGGTCCAGAGGAGGGCTACAAAAATGATCCGAGGGCTGGAGCACCTCTCCTATGAGGACAGGCTGAGAGAGTTGGGCTTGTTCAGTCTGGAGAAAAGGAGGCTACGGGGAGACCTGATTGCGGCCTTCCAGTACCTAAAGGGGGCCTATAGGAAAGATGGGGAACGTCTTTTTCATAGGGCCAGCTGTGTTAGGACAAGGGGAAATGGTTTTAAACTAGAACAGGGTAGGTTCAGGCTAGAGGTAAGGAAGAAATTTTTTACAATGAGGGTGGTAAAACACTGGAACAGGTTGCCCAGAGAGGTAGTGGAGGCCCCATCCCTGGGAACATTCAAGGCCAGGTTGGATGGGGCTCTGAGCAACCTGATCTAGTTAGCAGTGTCCCTGCTCACTGCAGGGGGGTTGGACTAGATGACCACTAGTGGTCCCTTCCAACCCTAAACATTCTATGATTCTATGATTCTATGATTTTCAGCATTTAATATTCATCCAGATTTTCCCATCCAATGGGAAAACTGACGGAATTACATTCTCTGGCTGGGGAAATATCAAAATTATCCTGGCTGGAGACCAACTGCAAGACTCACCTATACCTATGGACTCACACAGAATTATAGAATAATTTAAGTTAGAAGGTACCTCTGGAGGTTTCTGGTCCAACCTCCCCTCTCAAAGCCAGACCAACCAGATGATGTTTCTTGGAGACTTAAGCAGTTGAGTTTTGAATATATTCAAGCAGTGAAATTTCCTGACCTCATTGGCAACCAGTCCCAATGCTTGAGTACTGTAATTGTGGAAAAAATAGTTCCTAATATCTAACCAGAGTTTCACATGTTCTGGCTTGTGTCCGTTACCTTTTTTTCTTCCACTGTGCACATCTGAGAAGAGTCTGGCTCCATCTTCTCTACACCATCCCACTAGGTAGCTGTAGACAGCAATACGATTTCCTCTTTCATCTTTAGAAAAGTCTGTCTTTATTCATTACAGCATACCCAGTATTCTGAGCTGCCACCTTCAGTGCTGCAGATGAAAAGAGCAGTTGCTAGAGAGTTTGTATCCACTGTAGAAGTAATCTCAATCCCTTGACCGGAACACAAGATCTTGATTCCTTCCACCTGTTTCACATATTTCTTTTTGATAAAATTGTTTCTAACGTTTTCACCAATAGAGGAATTATTCCTGATTCCATATGACTCTCTGCTTTTCTTCTTTTATAATAACTGTGGTCTCTTTACAATAGATTTTTACCCATCTCAGGTTGTTCCTGGCTGTCACTGATGAATTTCCACCTCATCCAGGAACACACTTGCTTGGTGCCTACAAGATCTTTAAAAGATCTAATTTAAGCGCCTTGATTTTTTTCTTAGGCTACGGTTTATAAACACAGCCTGGTAGCCTCTACCACATGCTCTTGCCTCAGGATTATTTCTCACAGTGCCTTGCATTCATATCAAGTGCTGTATGTGGACAAGAGCTTTTAAATAGTTGTGCAGTAGGACCCGCATCCTGATCAATTCCTAAATCTCAGATGGTCTGGTTTTCTCACTTGCTAACCATTCAAGATGGTACGCATCTTCTGTTGGATGTCTGGTAAACAAATTCACCTAATGAAATGCAAGACTTCTTATCCCCATTTGCAACCCATAATTTCACATTCTGGCCCTTATTTTAACCTTTGACTCCCAGTTTGTAGACATCAATAATTCTGGGGTAACTCCTCGAACCACATTATTTGAAAGCAGGCAAAAAAAAAAACCAAAACCCAAACCGCTTATCAAATACTGTGGCATTTTTATTCTAGTTCATTTGACTCAATCAATCTCGATGAATGTGATATCTCAGTAAACTTCAGATGCCTGTGGCACAGATACACAGGTCTACCATTGTGCTGGTTACCTAGAGTTCAGTGAAAGTTAATGAGAGAAACAGGCACATCTATGATGCAATTCAAGTTACCCTAAGCTGTATGTCAGATAAATCACAGGTTACAGGCACCAGTTTCTTTCCATTGCTTAAGGAGAGGACATGGGGGGTGAGCTCTGGGTGGGCGATATCTAGGATGGATGTCTAAAATTAGACAAGAGTCTTCTCACTTCTAAGACTTTCCAGTCTTAGCATTCTTTTAAATTCTTCTTTACTCCATTGCTAGGCCCTTGTGTCCAGCAATATCAATTTTCTTGGCTGACACCAAGGAATAGTTGATTTCAGCACAAGAAATGTAAATTCAAAACAGTGCAATTGCAGCTCTCGTTAAAAGAAAATTATGTGCCCTTTAGTCATGTGAGAAGCTTAAAGAAAATTAAAGGAGCTGTAATTGAGCATCTTTCTTCTATGACTTCTACAACTAAATCTGCAGTCAGTCTGACTAGTCTGACTAGTTTAGTCATAATTTATAAAAGTTAGTATTATTAAGGAATCAACATAGATTAGAATATGGCTGAGTGAGGCTCAGAAAATATCTCTTAATGAAGTCATCTCGCAATATTTTTCTATTATCACATTTTTTTTAATATGCAACATATATCCATGGGTATTTAGACAGTGAGGCAGAGATGGACAAACGAAAAAGAAAACTTCAGATTAAATAATGGATTTCCCCAGAAGAAAAAAAAATACTCCAGAAATACCAGTGGAGAAATTTGGTTCTTATTATGAGGAAAACCCACAGAATTATAGAAGAGTGTGACCCATTTAAAAGGTCACCTAATCCTTCTTTTCCCCTAGGCAGGATAAACTAGAGCTACATTGCTTTTTTACAGATGTTTCATTAATCTTTTCTTTAAAGCTTCCAGAGACAGGCATTCTAAAATTTCTGTGGCAATTTGTCCTTTGTGCTTAACTATTCTTAGCAGAAAATTCTTTCCCTGTAAATCTCCTTTGCAGTAATTTTAGCGCATTGTCCTACTGCAGCAGAAATGGAGAACAGTTTAGTTCTATCCTCTGGGCAGTACATTTTAGGTATTTGAAAATTCTTTAGGTATAACTTTTTTCTACTTTCTAGATTAAAATACATCTGCTCTTTAAAAATTTGATAGATCACAAGCTTTATTATACCTTTGTCACTCTCAATGCTTTTCACTGTGGTTTCTTGAACAGTTCCACTTTTTACAGTGAAATATTAAAAACCCATGAAGAATTTCTGCTGATATCCGGAAAGTAAAAAATGGAGCAGAAGCAT